TTCAAAATAAGTTATTCTGAAAATCGAAGAAAAAAAAAAGGAACAGTTTCAAATAACGCGACGAGCAAAATCGAGGAATTCAGCTCAACAGGTTAAAACGATGTCGAACGATGCACTAAACGATCTGACACTCTACATACCCGTATAAATCTTGACAAGGACCTCCACTCTAATTCAACATCGTCTACCCATTCTCTACATCGGTGGCATTCCGATATTTTAAAGAATTCCCTACACCGAAAAGCTGCCTACTACCTCGAAAGTTCGAAAGTCTCCTCTACGTGTTTGCATACGTATTTGCCTCTTTTTCATTTTTCCAACTTGTTCGCTCCTCATCCGCCGGATCCGAAGTTTTCGACGTTTTCTCATACCGTGTCGAATAGTTGGAACATACACTCGTCGATATGATTTCACGTTATTGAGAATACTTTTTGGAATTTCCCTTTGGCTAATCTTGATTTACTCCTCGATATGCATGACTCGGAGACGCGTGTTTCGTGGCATTAATCGTTCGAGTATTGACAGAATACACGATGCGTGAAAATGGCATTACTAATTAATAATTTCATTTTCAAAGGTGGCTTGTAAAAGTAAAATTTATAGTTTCTTTTTCCCCCCAGTCTTGCTTTTCCCCGCATTATTCAACATCGATTTACCGGCATGTTCACATTGTACCTTTTCTGAGACCCTTTTTTACTTGTTTGATGATCAGTAGCTCGATTAAATCAAATTTCAATCCTCAAACTAGCGAAACATTCGTTCCAGATTAATCGATAGCTTCCGAGTACTAGAAATCTCGGAGTTTTTCCATTCTATTCATGGCGTCTTTTTTTTGCAATAATTTTTTTAAATAACTTCTTTGATGTCCTTTGCTTGAAGCCCTACTTGAATTATACGTGTAAGAATTTTTTTTTTTTTTTTTTTGTAATTTTACGTACGCCAGAAAAAATTTCTATCTAAACAAGAATGACAATGTAAGAACATTTATTTGAAGCTTTTAAAAATTCCAAGAATCTTTTATGAACATTTTTTGCAATAGTCAATCAATTACTGTCAGAGTCGTGATAATGTAAAAATATCATTTTTTAAAGTACGCATATTATCATACCACGTGTTTTTTATTTAAATATCTTTGTTTTTGAAAATGCGACAGAAAATTTATTTTATTAGACAGACAGTAATATAACAATAATGATTTAGCCAGAGGAGTTTAACCGGAGATCTCAAGTTCATCTCCACTTTTTTTTAAATCGATGCAGTTCTCGACGTTCTCTATAAAAAGAATACTGACCTATGTGTATCGAAAAATCATTAATTTAGAAGATATTTCAACCTCAATTATGTAGCAGTAGTAAGATAGTATGCTATTATTGTTATAATATAAATAATGCAATTGAACCAAATTTCAAAAAAAACCACAATCACCGCCAAAACATTAAATCACCACGATCGCTTTCCTTCTTTCGAAACCACGTCAACCGACACTCTCTCTCTCTCTCTCTCTCT